GTTGATACTTTTCGTCCACACATGTTAGGCGGCTACATCTGATACAGCCGTGCCTCTGCTTCTCGGTGGCTACCGACTCAGCTAACCCCATCACGACCTTTACGGCCCCTTCATTCACGGCCCGCTCCTCTGCTACCGCATGAATGAGCTAGGAGCCCATCGGCTCGTTTCGGTTGTCTTCATTTTCAGATTTGCTGTGATCTGTGTGTTTGGAAATGACTCGATGATCAGTCAGGTGCTCTTTTCCAGCAAGTCCGACAGCTCAATCAGTAAAAGCGAACCCCACACTTGTCAGCTCATATCACGCTCTTCTGGGCCGTGCAAAAGAAAGCTACACTGGCAGTAACGCTGGAAGCGCACACCTGTGAGTTATGTGGGCCAGAACTCACGAAGACTCACAAAGACACAGGGACTCATTGTTGTATCATCTACACCTACAGGCTGCGCAGAACGTTTCCGACGCCGTGGACTCAGCTGCTTTCGGTGGTCGTTCACGATTGCCCGATGCGGTTCCGCATACAGAGCGAAAGTTAAGATAGTCGACGAGCTGCGGCATGCTAAATATAAGGCTGACGACTCTGAATTCAATTGCTGTACCTACCTGTCGGTCGCTACTGATCAAGGAAGCTACACACACGGTGTTGCTACAGAAACTGTTTTAAGTGTTGGAAACTTCCTGTCTTGTCGGGAGGTGCAGTCCGGACTCTGGCGAAGAACCTACACACATAAGCTCCTGTTAATGGCACAGCGTAACTTCTTACTGGGTTCATCTTGCTATAATGCTATTCTGCTCGCGATACCCGCACAGGTTTGCGTTTCGGCCGTTCAGGTTATCAGGTGTCACCGCTAGACGCTGGGGCAGAAGCCGCACGGTCTCAGAAGTACGGAATATAAGGAAGCGAGTATGGATTTTGCGCAACTTTTTTGAAAATGTAAGAAAGCGGCGCTTCACCACTCACCGAGCCACCTCCCAAGACGATCAGCGGCTGGGCGTCTATTCCGTCCACACGGCGGCATAGGAGCAGTCCGTAAACATAAAGGGGCGGGGGTAGCTGGGTCAGTCGTCGGGCGAGCAGCAGACGCGGCGGTATCTGAAACCGCCTCACACGTCGACTAAATGCAACGTTTGAAAGAAGTTGGCGATCGGCGACTATTGGTGCATTGGGCTTATAGTGATGCTACAAATATTTGTCTCGCAAATGCTGTCCCTGAAATATGTTATGTGCGTGAGGGTGAATAAATGCACCAATCATCGGATGATGATATGGGTCTGGGACAACAAATATAGTAATTAAATCATGGTACACCTCGCATATTCGGATATATAGCACAAGTACGAACTTAGAGTTTAATCGCCATGCATCGCGTGACGAGTACCTACCGTCCAACACGTTACTTCAGAAGCGGATCTAAGCGTAGTGCGTGTGTGTGTGTGGGGGGGGGGGGAGGGCACATTCTAGTAAATTGCAAAGCCGGATTCACGGACTGGCGATGGATGATGACCGGCAGCTAACGTTTATGAACGGGAATGGCGGCCGATGGTTAGTCACTTGACGGACGTTGTTAATCGGGCAGGTCGGTTGGAAACAATACCTAAGCCTGCATGTTTTTGGCGGTGGTGGTGTTGGGGGGGGGGTGGGGGAATCATGTTAAAAAGTTTAAGCAAGCATGTGCCTTAACCCTCGCCGGCCGAGGGGGGGGGGGGCGGGTGCCGCCCCCCATAGGGTTTTTTCGCGATAGCTCCGAACACGCTGGCGATAGAGAGCTGAAACTTGGCATACCTGACCTTTGATTCAAACTGGATCTTTTGACACCAACCGCATTTTCGGGTCAGGTCAGGTCACTGACCTATGACGTCATAAGTGAACCTCTGCACGGTCTTCAGATGTCGCAACTTCGCAACGCCCTCACTGCCAGAGGAGGTGTCACAGGGAAATGGAACTTGCAGGACCTAGTATCCATTAGAAGTCTCACAACTTGTATATCTCGGATTTTTCCTAAAGGTCATATGAGGTCAGGTCATTTTCTCGACCTCACCATTATAAGTCAATGGGGAAAAATGAAAACTGCTATTCTGGCGCCGGGAACGATCTCCAACTATCTCAAGCACACATAATCATGATTTCAGGCGCTCCTTGCTAGGTTCCATGCGTCACTTTTGCAATGTTGACCTTGCGTGACGTCATTTATGACGTCATTAGGGTCATATTATTTTTTCATCAATAACTCCCGAACAAATTGAGCTAGCGAGTCGGGAAAGTCAGCAATGGACTCAGGAGGACCTGCCAAATCGAATGATATGCAATATGACCTCCTTCGACAAACTTCATGACCTGGGGGCGCTGACCTGACCGTGACCCGAGGTCAACACCCTAAGTTGACCTCACCCAAACAAAAAGTAAATCATTCGACGCGCCTGAGCAAGGCGAACACGATGCTGCCAAAATCGCGGCTCTGCGGCCGTTTTTTGCGAAGTTATTCACCAAAACCGAACCATACTTTGGGGCACTTGACCTGACCTCAGAGGTCACCAGTTGACCTAGGACCTTAAAATCGGGTATCAGTCTCTGCGTCTTGAAACGGCGCACACGCTCGTTTTTTCCGCGACGCGCTAGCTCCACCAGGGGCGAAACGGCGAGGGGGGGTGGTCGTACCCCCCCCCCTCGGCCGGCGCGTATGTAGAAAACCAATAGGTCCGGCGAGGGTTAACCTTAGGACTCCTATCGGATCTGCCACCACATTGCCTCAACATTACACCTGTGTCAAAGCTCAATATGTCTCTTTTGTGATGTTATCTTCCTACTTCCAGATGCATGCGCTTAGAACCATGTCAATTTGGGACATTTATGCTCCAAAAAAGTACAAAATATTCAACGAAAGCCCTTTCATGTGGTTCCTAGGTTACTCCCTTGCATAGAATACCGCCCACCAAAGACATTTATATTACGAAAATAAAAAAATAAACAGGCCGTATCGGGAGACTTCAACGCCAGAAACTGATTTTGCTCGAAACTTTGACAAGACGCGGCAGGATGGGTTTTAATTTCTCGAAAGTTTTACTTGTACAGCTGGTCTTCGGTTGTCCTGGAGCAAAGGAAAATCATAGGAGCACCGTGATCTGTGACTAGCGACACACCCTAGTGTATATGGGTGTGTGTATTTTATCTGTGCTTTTTGAATAAGGAAAGACGTTGTTTTATGACGTTTTGTTTTCTTTTTATTGTGTTCTGATCATTGGACTTACCAAAAAAATAAAATACGCCACCTTCAAAGAACACAATGCTGTGTTAGGTCACTGACCTAATGTGACCTTGACCCGGCCCATACCTACTCAAAAACATCACCAATGTATTCTCCGTGAAGTTAGCTTTCATATGACACCCATATTGCCTATGATTCACGACGTTCTGGGCAGGTGTCATTTTTTATGTCAGGTCATGACCACATTGTTGACCTTAGTTTGAGGTCAACGGGTCCGATATACCAACCAAATCACATACCACTGTTGATAGCATAGATAAGATATATCTGAGGGAAAAATCAGAATTTTTAAAATAGGACAAATTTGAAAGGTCACGAGGTCAAGAAAACGTCACAAGGTCACGAGGTCAAAAAATGACCTTGGGGTTTCATTCACATTTTTGCTAGACGCACCAGCCTATGCGCTTATTATTTCATATATAACTTTTCTTGATCCGGTGAACCGTTGCAGAGATAAAAAATACTTTATATTTCAATATTCCGGGAAACCTTAATATTTGCATGACCCATATCTCCTGACCCCTGTGACCTAGAGACTAAAAATTCACTGGGACGTAGTAGCGCCCATAGGTCAACTTGTATACCAAATTTGAGCAAAATCGGAGAGGTCATGGTGAATATGCCTAGGTGATCTGTCATGGAATTGCCCAGATCTTTTACTGGACGAGGAAGGCCTTTGAGTATGAAGCAAACTCTGGTGGATAAAATATGAACTAACAGAATCGTTTAATTGGCCGGGTTAGCGTAAATCTGGTTTAGGCTAACGTGCTCTAAAGTTAGTATAAACTCGGATCTGGGCTGTTCCTATCAAAATACACTATTTTTAATTTATGCTATCCAAAAAGTTAGGGTAAATTAAAATCAATTGAAATTTGGGTTTAGGCTAACGAAAAGTTAGCCTAAACCCGTTTCACAAAAGCACTACCAATGTATTCTCCGTGAAGTCAGCTTTCATATGACACCCATATTGCCTATGATTCACGACGTTCTGGCCAGATGTCATTTTCATGTCAGGTCATGACCACGTTGTTGACCTCAGTTTGAGGTCAGCGGGTCCGATATACCAACCAAATCACATACCACTATTGAGAGCATGGATAAGACATCTCTGAGGGAAAAAATCAGATTTTTTTAAATAGGGCAAATTTGAAAGGTCACGGGGCAAGAAAAGGTCACATGGTCATGAGGTCAAAAAATGACGTTGGGGTTTCAGTCACATTTTTGTTAGATGCACCAGCCTATGTGCTTATTATTTCATACGTAACTTTTCTTGATCCGGTCAACCGTTGCAGAGATAAAAAATATTTGATATTTCAATATTCCGGAAAACCTACAAATTTCGATGACCCATATTCAATGACCCCTGTGACATTAGGACTAAACATTAAAATGGGACAAAAGTAGTGCCCATTGGTCACATTGCATGCCAAGGTTGAGCAAAATCGGAGAGGTCATGGTGAACTATTGGGAAAAATTAGGTGATTTGTGGTGGAACTGCCCTTTACATATTGGTTCTTAAGTTGTCGGGTGGGGGCGATTACCCCTTCCCCATAGCAAACGGTGTGTGGCGAAATGCTCCAGCAACTGTGGAGTTACATGTGACCGGATACACATGATTTGGTTTGTTATTTAGGCAATAGAAGTGGGATTGGGAGGAGTCAGATAGCTAAACAAGAAAAATATAACCGACGAAAGGTCTCTAGGAGAGCCCTTACTCGTATATGTGGCTTTGTTTACAGGCCATTAGTGACCTCATCTATGCAAAAGACGAAAACCTGAAGGCCACTGTCGACAAAAATCCCACTCGGGTGTTCGAAGAGCAGGGTGAGCAGGGTGAACCCAAGGACTGGAGGACGATAATCGACAAGTCACTGGACGAAGGCTCCTTCAAGAGCTACGACGCGACCATATCTGAGCTGCTGCGGTTGGTTCGAAATAAGGTGAGGATTCACGTGTGGCGGTGTCTATTGCCTGCGCTCTGTTGGTAGTCGGTTCTGCTCGGCACCACCTGGGCTATTTCCTAACCCAAGACCGCATGGGGAGGTGTCGGATCCAGCACACTCCTGCTATCTCGAAAGCAATGGTCGTATCGACAAAGGTGAAAAAGTGTTCAAGCTGTCGCAAACGAAATTTTCAAAGGGCATAGCTGTCGCATTAAAAAAAATGAAATTAAGGTTCAGGAAATACAGCTGTCGCATGCAACAGCGCGACAGCAAACGATCCGTAAACGGCGAACATGCAGTGTATTTTGTTCGCGTGTTTACCTTTTTTCTGCGCATAATTCGTGACTAAAACACTGCAATGTATGTAATAGTGCAGCAAAATCAAGCAGGGGTGGGCAAACAAGAGTGGGCAAGGATACATCCCATAAATGTATCCGGCCGGAGGCTGTTCCCTTTGTGACGTCATAACTCCGTGACCTGACATGACCCGGTCAAATTTTTTTTTTATCAAAAGATGCGCAAGGTTTGCCCCATAAGGTACCCAAAATTTGGCGGCGCTGCGCGCCGCCGTTTTTGTACTATTTCCGAAAAACCTCAGGGGGGGGGGGGGTGCACCAACCCCCCCTACATGGGCGAGGGTTAAAACTTATCATGGTTGGTAGTGTTCTTCGCAGAATAAAAACAAATATGAAACTTACTGTGAATTTCGTCACACTGGCTCCGCAAAAACGTTCTTCTCTGTCGCGTAGGGTCATCCGCATGTTCACGAAGTTTTCGCCTATGCGTATCGAGCCCCGCGCCACTCCACGCTAGGCCGGTGGGCCGGAAAAGCGCTAGAAATACCCCCAAGAGTGGCTTTATACAATATGAACAAAATATGTATCATTCAATCCCAAAATGATCAAAGCATACGATTCTGATGCCATTTTTGCCTTAACCCTATTAGTGGCAGGCTCCTGGCTACCCCTATTAGTGGCAGGGGGGGGCTGTTTACGACCCCCCCCTTGATATCTCGAGATCTAACGGGCCGATTTTCAAAATTCAAACGGCAGGGGGGTAGAGGGGGGTAAAAACGGACAAATTGCAGATACATTTTAGACTGTTTATCACGGCCAGGTTTCTGAACCAATCTTAACGCAACTTTTGCCGATCGATAGAGAATGAACCAGGAATTCACATGGATCCTAAAAATATGCATTTTCAAAAATCATAGGCGGATACAGATCATTGAGATTGATTGTACACAAAAAGTATAGTAAATAAAGTTTTTGTTGGTACTGTTTCTAAAAAAGGTGGTAATGGTCTTGTTATGTTACAATTTTCTTATGAGAGAACGACTACAATTGTATTAACATAACATAACATATATTGATTGCAACAACAGGCCACTGGTGCCCAACATGGCTGCAACATACGATACATCAAAACAAGAACACTAGCGTCATGGTAAGAACGTCATGACATGACTTCATCTCCTTTCACATCAGTATCATTCACAGGTACACATTTCAGATCATATGCACAACGGACACCATATCATTTCAATTTTATCTAATCGTCAATTGTGTCAAAAATGGTACCACGCTCTATGAAGTACAGGTCAATAGAATGTTTAAACTCGTTAAGTGAATTACTTGCAATGACCCAGGATGGCAAATTATTCCACAAGTCAATTACTCTGTGTGTAAAAAATGATTGCCGTAGTGCTGTTCTCGCTGACTTTTTAACTAATTTACAATTATGACCTCTAGTTTGATTCGAATTAATTGTTAACATATTTGTGAAGTTTAATTTATCTAGTCCAGCGTATATCTTAAAAAGTTCAATTAAATCGCCTCTAATTCTGCGATAATGCAGAGAAAACATATTTAACGAAATCAGTCTTTCTTTATAACTCTTTTTCTCGAAGCCAACTATCATCTTAGTTGCTCTTCTTTGGATTCTTTCTAACGATCTTTCATCTTTTTTGAATGAAGAGTAACACGCTTGCCTGCAATATTCCAAATGTGGTCGTATGAATGCACAGTAAAGCCTTTTCATTACATCTTTGCTTTTGTAACTAACATTTCTTTGTATTGCCCCCAACATTTTCAGAGCTTTCTTTCGTGCTTCCATGCAATGGTGACTAAATTTTAAATCGTCCGTTATCAAAACACCCAAATCTTTTTCCTCATGGACGACTTGTAAGATATTTCCATTTAGATTATACGTGTAGCATTCTTTCGCCCCTAAGTTGAGAACTTTGCACTTATTAATGTTAAACTCCATCTGCCATTCTTCCGTCCACTTGGAAAGGGCATTTAAATCTGCTTGGAGCAGTGCCTTGTCATCAGCTGATTTGATTACTTTTGCAAGTTTAATGTCATCAGCAAATTTCCACAGTTTGCTTGTAAGATTACAATCTATCTGGTTTATAAAAATAATAAACAATAAAGGAGCAAGAACTGTGCCTTGTGGAACGCCACTTTTAACTTCAACCCAAGCAGCTTGTTGACCATTTAGCACCACTCTTTGTCTTCGACCCAGCAACCAAGTCTCTATCCATCGAAGGATAGAACCACCCAACCCATGATTTTCGAGCGAAACTAACAGTCTTCTATGCGGAACTTTATCAAAGGCTTTACAAAAATCTAAATATATGACAGATATATTATTGCCTTTATCTAAATGATCTGTAGCAAACTCAAGGAACTCTATTAAATTTGTTAAGCATGAGCGTCCAGTCCTAAATCCATGCTGAGAAGGCAACAATAAGTCTTCTTGCTCTAAGTAAATTACAATGTGGTGTTTAATTATTTTCTCCAATACTTTACACACTATAGAAGTTAAACTTACTGGCCTATAGTTACCTATTCTTGTTTTATCCCCTCCTTTAAATATTGGTACTACATTTGCACACTTCCAGTCGTTAGGGATGACCCCAACCTTTAAAGAGTGTTCAAATATAATTTGTAGTGGCAGTGCTAGTTCTTTTGCTGCTTCTTTAACCCTCGCACGACCAGGCCATTTCTCATAACACGAACGACCAGGGGGGGGGGGGTTGTTACGACCCCCCCTGGCGTTTCGAAACGGAAGGTCGTAGAGCTTAGCGGAAAAAACCAACGGATTGCTCTCAACGAGATCTCGCGATTGGTGGTATATTTTTTGGTCCTAGGTCAACATTTGACCTACTTTTGACCGGTCAAAGGTCAAATTTTCGGAAAAATAGACTTTTTTTCAACTTTCGGCGGCGAATGCGGCAAAACGGTGAGAGATATCGACTTGAAACCTTCACTATCGTGTTCCTTGATCAATTCTCTATCGTTTGGTATGTATTTCGTTTCCCTAGCTCTAAAAATGGCGCGTTGGGAGCGCCGGAAGTCGGCAAGGTCACAGTCGGCGGCAGAAATTCGAAAAATCAAAATTTAAATTTTTGAAATCTGATTGTATTTTTGGATTTGGGAGGTCCATTTGCTCCCTATAGAAGCTAATATTGCTGCATATTCCCATTGAGGTGACAAGAATTAGCAAAATAGTGGTTCGGGCGCTTTTCAAAAATAGTACCGGACGCTGTTCCTCTTGTGACGTCATAGCTCCGTGACCTGACCTGACCCGGTCAAATTTCTTATACCATATGATAGCCAATACTTGCCCCAACATGCATGGGAAGTTTCATCACGATCCATCAACCGATGTCCGTACCACCGGCAGGAAACCTCGGGCGTTGGCACTCAGTTTGTGAAAATCCGGCCGGAGGCTGTACCTCTTATGACGTCATAACTCCGTGACCTGACATGACCCGATCAATTTTTTTCGGCAAAAGATGCGCAAAGGTTGCCCCAGAGGGTATTGAAAATTTCAGCCCGCTACGACAAGCCGTTTAGCGTGCACTTCGAAAAAACCTCAGGGGGGGGGGGGTTGATACAACCCCCCCCTAGGCGTTCTAGGGTTAATAGTTCTGGCATGAATATTATCAGGTCCACATGCCTTATTTTCTTTGACACTAAGCAATTGTTTTAACACGTCATCGACGTTTAGAGTAATGGTGTCCAATTTTCCGTGTGCATTTCCATTACTTTTTATCTTTGGAATGTTTATGAGATGTTCGTCCGTGAATACCGATGAAAATTTCTCATTGAAAGCCTTGGCTTTCAGAACATCATCACGGTACACTTCTCCATTATTTTCAATTGTCCCGATTCGCGGATCATTTCTGTTAAATTTATAAAAACTGAAGAACTTTTTTAGGTCTCCTTTACATTCTTCTGCCAATCTTATCTCCGCCGCTCGCTTAGCTTTCCTAATAACTCTCTTAAATCTCTTTCGAGCTGCAAAGTAGCTACTCTTATTGTTAGCCGAGGGAGTTGTTTTAAAGATATAAAATGCATTTTTCTTTTCAGCAAAATTTTGTTGCACTTCATGGTTAAACCATAAAGGTTTTGGAGATTTTATTGCACCCATCCTTCTCATCGGAATGAACCGATCCTGAGCTTCAGCTAACGTCGATTTGAAAATGATCCACATTTCATCAACTGTTTTACCCTTAAACATTTCCATCCATTCGAAACGTGATAGAAACATCCTAATGGCGTCATAGTTGCCTTTGCCAAAATTTGGAGTGCAAAACATCCTGCCATTCGTTCTCTTAAACTTACATTTAATTTTAAATCGAATAATTGCATGATCACTGTTTCCAATCGCCTCACCTAGTTCTACATCTTCAATAAGCTTTTCATCGTTGGTTAAAATAAGATCTAATATTTCACTTTGCCTGGTAGGCAGAAGGACATGTTGAGTCAAAAGTAATTCATCGAAATTATCTCTAAACAAGGATGTCTCCCATGTATTATTTTTTGGTACGTCTTTATATAGATTCGGCAAGTTGAAATCCCCTATAATAATAGTACTATTACTTATTCCTCTCTCCAACTCATCGATCATGGCAAGATCGATTTCCTTATTTTGGTTTGGTGGCCTATAGAAGGACCCTATTCTTATTTTATTGTTTCTACGATCATCTGGAAATAAATCTACCCACACTGATTCAACATCTGCACACAATTTGCAACTTATTACCGCAACTGGTTTGAGATGCTTTTTAATGTAAACCAAGATGCCTCCACCCAGCTTTGTTTTTCTTTGATACACAAAGATATCATAATTGTCAATACCATAATCTATTATACGATCCGCTAATAAGTTTTCATTGATCCATGATTCTGTTATGACAACTACATCTAGT